GCTAACTGTGCATCAATTATGTATAGCTGCTGGGGAATTGGTCAGTCCAAATGACATAACAAGAAACTCGTAATGACCATACCGAGTCCTGAAAGCAGTCTTCGGGATATCTGGCTCCCGAATCATCAACTGATGGTAACCTGAGCGCAAGTCAATCTTAGAAAACACCCGTGCGCCCTGGAGCTGGTCAAACAGATCATCAATACGAGGCAAAGGATAGCGGTTCTTCACTGTAGCCTTGTTCAATTGGCGATAATCAATACACATATGCATAGAACCATACTTTTTTTTCACAACAAGACAGGAGCACCCCAAAGTGATATACTGGGCCGAATAAAACCCTTATCAAGCAATTCCTGTAACTGATCCTTCAACTCCTTCAACTCAGGAGGAGCCATGTGATAAGGAGGAATAGAAATAGGCTGAGTGCCCGGCAACAAATCAATGCCGAAATCAATATCTCTATCAGGCGGCATGCTTGAAAGGTCAGCTGGAAACACATCGGTAAAATCCCGTACTACTGGGACTGAATCAACTGAAGGGGTATCAATACTGACACCTCTCACATAAGCTAAGTACGCGTCACGCCCCTTCTCAATCATACGCTGAGCTTTAAGAAAAGATATGACTCTACTGGAGTGTGATTTAAAGTACGCCTCCACTCAACACGCGGTACACCTGGCATAGCCAGCATCACAGTTTTGGCGTGACAATCAAGAATAGTATAATGGGGCGACAACCGGTCCATGCCAGAGATAATGTCAAAATCTACCATGCCGAGTAACAAGAAGTCAACTCTGGTCTCAAAACCATGAAGAGTAACCAAACACGATCGATAAACACAGTCCACACAAGAGAATCTCCCACGGAAGTAGAAACATAAACAGGGGAACTCAAAGAATCCCGAGGTACACCCAAATGCGGAGCAAAATAAGGAGACACATAAGAGTAAGTGGAGCCTGGATCGAATAGAACCGATGCATCTCTATGAAAAACCATGACAATACCTGTGATGACAGAATCCGAGGCAATAGCCTCGGTACGGGCAAGAAGGGTATAGTATCTGGCCTGGCCCTCCCCTCTAGCTGGCTGAGCAGGTAGGGTAGCAAGTGGAGTTGTGGTCATAGCCTGAGAACCCTGCGGAGTGCTTTGTGGCTGAGAAGTCTATGGAGGTGCACTCCTCCCAAGTCCAGGGCAATCCCTCACCACATGGCGTGTGTCACCACACTCAAAAAAATCTCTGGAATGGCAGTGGGAATTGTGCGGTACGGGTACTCCGAGACCCCTGAACACCTGAAACACTGTGTGAAATCTGAGATGCAAACTGAGCTGGCTGACCCACAAAACCTCTACCATGCCGTACTCTTCCTCGAACATAAGGACCAGTGGATCTCTCCAGTCTACAAGGTCCCCTTACTTCCCTATACTCTCTCTCTTGACCTCGTCTGTCCTCTCTCTCCTGGACCCACCTGTCCTCTACTCGGCGAGAGGTCCCACCCCCCGCTGAACTGGGATCACAGGCTGTGTCTCCATGTCACCTGGAACCTGACCAGTGGGAACTCTCTACTCTGGACTGGGGGAGGCGGAAGTCTGGATCCCTTCCCTGATCTGTGAAGTGGCTGGTACAACCTGAATCAATCCCGCCTGAACTAATGTACCAAACATGCTCAGGAACCGTGCTAATGTCTTCTGAAGTGCTTGGAGTAGTAGTAGTAGTAGGCGTATCCGATGCCTGGGCTCTGGCTAGAACTACTGGTGGCTCCTCGGTGGCAGCTTGCGCGGGTGCTCTGGCTGCACCGCGTGCGCGTCCTCGGCCTCTACCCCGACCCCGACCTCTGACGGCTCTCACAGGGGGCGCGGGTGTCTGATCATCTCTGGTAGCACGTGTTCTCACCATCTGTGAGAGAATGGTAGACAAAGGTTTAGGATTGTGACGTCGAAATCTCGCACGACTGGGAAATCAAATCGAGTGGAATTTCCTAACGGTTACATAGCCTCTCGTAGATAAGTACAGACGTCTCCGTACCGATCAGTGAGACTCTAATAAATCGGCTTGTGATTCATGACTCCTATGAACCTAGAGCTCTGATACCAACTTATCACGACCGCGGTTCGCCCTCCGTGAACCATCATGACGGCACCTAGTCTCTACAACTAGGTAAGCCTAAATTGCGGAAAAGAAACCAAAATTTACGGACATAAAACAATTTAAAACAGAAATAAGAAAATAACCAGTGTATAAATGCGCCGCTCGCCATACACCATATTTAACTCTCAAAACCAACACATAAATCCAAGACCCGGGAACCCATGAATCACAAGCTAAGAAGTACTACATAGTTCTAACTCTAGAATGTCTAACAAGAACTGAAATACAAAAGGACTAATACTAAACAACAAGAATAGAAAGAGACTCCTCGGTCTGCAGACACGGCAGATATACCTCGAAGTCGCTATAGCAGTCGCCTCGCCTCAGGGGTGGTAAGATTGAGTCGAAGTACCTGGATCTGCACATGAAAAACATGCGCAGGAAGGGCATGAGTACACCACAGCGGTACTTAGTAAGTGCCAAGCCTAACCTCGGTCGGGTAGTGACGAGGAAGGTCGGGGCCCTACTGAGGTTAAATAAAATATAAGGGTTAACAGTGTGAAATAAAACAGTATAAATAAGTGCAACAGTAAGAAATAACATAGAATTGAAAGAACAACAACAACTAGAACATAGACAAACAAACCACGGAAAGAAATACAGCTCAACACAGAGATAACAACCGGGGCACCTTCCATCCTGTAGTCCCAATGACAACTATCCAGTGGATCTCCCGGGATACCATCCCGTAGTCCATCATATATGTGTCCGAAGGATCTCCCGGGATCCCATCCCGTAGTCCAACTATCAATGCGCGAGGGGGATCTACCGAAATCCCGATCTGTAGTCCCCAAATATAAATACCCAGTACTAAGGGAATCTACCGGGTGCATTCCCGTAGTTCCATATAACTGTGCAGGGGGATCTACCGGGAATCTAACCCGTAGTCCCAAAGTAAATGTGCAGGGGGATCTACCGGGAATCTAACCCGTAGTCCCAAAGTAAATGTGCAGGGGGATCTACCGGGAATCTAACCCATAGTCCCAAAGTAAACAGACAAGGAGGAGCTACCGGAATCCCACATCTGTAGTCCCAATGTAAATACACAGCAGCAGCAAGAAAATATTCAGAAAAGGGAAATTTCATATTATGGGAACAAATAACTCTAGCCCAGCATGCTGCACAGAGTTCAGGTAAACAGATTGAACAATTAAAGCAATTAAATCACTTAGACATGCTTTCCTAAGCTAACGACAGGCTTAATAGTACATGTAATAAAAGCAGGAGAAGAAACAAACTAATAAGTACTTAAAGAAAACCAGATTTCCAACAATTTGCACAAGTACGCACTCGTCACCTCACGTACAAGGCATTTCAATTACCAAATATAACAAACCTAAAGGGAAGGTCCCCCACACAAAGTTAGACAAGCCACTTACCTCGAACCCGCTCAAAATCAATCCGACACCACGTGTTTGCCACGAGTACTCGACTCCAAATGGCCCAAATCTATTCAATTCAATTGCATAATGTAAAAAACACTTCAAGTGACTGATCCTACAATTAAATTCTAAGCTAATAAGTGAAATTATGTAAAATGACAAAAATTATCCAAATCTGATGTCAAAAACCCAATCAAAACTCAATAATTCGGCCTATGAAGTTTATCTAATTCTTCCCAAATTTTCCACCAAAATTCGAAATTTAAAGACTAGATTTAAGTTAAGAAACATGGAAACTGATCTAAGTTGGGCAGAGATCACTTACCCAAGTTACCCAGGTGCAAAATTCTTCAAAAATCGCCCCTCCCGAGCTCTCAAATTCGAAAAATGTGAAAATAGGCTTAAACCCTCGAATTGGGGTTTTAAGAATCTGCCCAGGTTTTTTTGTACATCGTGATCGCGAGAAGTGATGTGTGATCGCGAAGAGGAAAAATTGAGGGTTCCTGAACTGGTCTATAAATGCGACAGGATGTAGGTGATCGCGGAAGAGGAAAAGGGCAGGCTTACGCGTTCGCGGACATGACCATGCGAACGCGAAGGAGGAAGGGGCAGACTTCTGCGATCCTGAGCCAAATCATGCGATCGCGAAGAACAAATTAAAGCTCCTCCGAAAATACACTATGCGAATGCGGAGGGAAGGCCGCGAACGCGAATAAGGAAACCAGATACCAGATTTTCTACAATTCTAACAAGTTACAAAATGACCCGTTGAGCATCCGAAACACACTCGAGGCCCCCGGGACATCAACTAAACCTGCCAACCAATACTAAAACATCATTCAAACTTGTTCCAACCTTTGAAACGCTCAAAACAACATCAAAACACCTATTTTTCATCGGATTCAAGCTTAGGAATTCCAAAAACTCTAAAAACACGCTTTCGGTCAAAAAGTCTATCAAACCTCGCCCGAATGACCTGAAATTTTGCACACACGACACATTCAACACTACGGAGCTACTCCAACTTCCGGAATCCCATTCCGACCCTCGAATCAAAATCTCACTATCGAACCGGAAATTTCAAAAATTCAACTTTCGGCATTTCAAGCCTAAATTAGCTAAGGACCTCCAAAACACAATCCGAACACGATCCTAACCCCGAAATCACCCTACCAAGCTAACGGAACCATCGGATTTCCATTCCGAGGTCGTCTTCACACCATTCTGACTACGGTCAACTTTCTAACACTTCAGCTCTCACTTAGGGACTAAGTGTCCAAAACTCCCGAAACTCAAAATCGAACATCCCGTCAAATCAAAATAGCAGAAATAAACTTGGGGAAAGCAGTCAATAGGGAAATGAGGCGTTAATTCTTAAGACGACCGGTCGGGTCGTCACACACCTGTACCTTCAATATTGTTTCAAAGCAGTCTTCCATGTACTTCTTAGGCATGCCCGATGTCCCTGATCACTTCTCAAAACTAATCGGAAACAAATTACAATTAATTGCCTGCGATCCATGATATCCATCCAGTAATCCTTGCGCTTCAGCATATGCTACATTGTAGTCATCAAAATTCATAATGATGCGCTCCCCAACAGTTAGGTTGTTAACTTCATTGACCTTGACTCTAATTTGCTTGGTAGCATTTTTCGAGTCTTTAACGAGAAAATAAGTTACTCAACCAAAAAAGAAGAAAAAAATAAGATTCTCATAAATTGAAGTAAAAATACATGTAAGGCATATACCCTCTGGCCTCTACTGTCCAATACTTTGTAGATTCACGTCCTGCACGGCGAGATGCTGCACTTGAATTAGAAGGCAAAATTGGAGCTTGTTCTTGTTGCGGGACTTCGTGAGCATGTGGGAGGGCTTGTACTGTTGTTGAAGGCTCTATAGCATGTGATTGGAGTGGAGTTGCTGATGATGAAGAATGTCCATGAGCATCATGTGGTTCACAAGCTGACTTTAGTGGATTCCGAAAATGTTTTATCTTTGGCATGGCTGTATATTCATAAGAAAAAGAGAGAGAGGTGAATCAAATATGAAGAGAGACTAAACATCAGATCAATGATTGATACAAAAAATTGTCCACAAACTACCCAACAACCCAATCTAGAGCCCCAAAAGATCTGCTTTTTTTAACTCCAACAAAAAATAAAATAAATAAACTACAATATACTCTACAAATAGTCAAACCCAAAAATTAGAAAAGAGGACCACAGGGAATCAACGAACTACACAATGTCACGATTTTGGTAAACCTAAGCACTGAAATAGACTACATACCAGCCTATCGTTTTAAGAATTTATGTCCCGATCCCCAACTAACTGCTTTTCCCGTGTTTGTTTCTGCAATTTTGATTTGCCGGGATGATTTGTTTTGCGTTTTGGAGTGTTTTGGGACACTTAGTCCCTAAAAGATAACTTAAGCTTTAAAATTTAGACCGTAGTTGGAGCATTGTGAAGACGGCCTCGAAATGGAATTTCGTTGGTTCCATTAGCTCCATTGGGTGATTTCGGGCTTAGGAGCATTTTCGGATTGTGTTTTGGAGGTTCGTAGTTTAATTAGGTTTGAAATGCCGAAAGTTTAATTTTTGAAGTTTCCGGTTCGATAGTGAGATTTTGATATCGGGGTCGGAATGGAATTTTGGAAGTTGGAGTAGCTCTGTTGCGTTGGATGTGACGTACGTGCAAAATTTCAGGTCATTCGGACGAGATTTGATAGACTTTTTGATCGAAAGCGGAATTTGGGAGTTTTTGGAGTTCTTAGGCTTGAATCCGATGTTAATTGGTGTTTTAATGTTGTTTTGAGTGTTCCGAAGGTTGGATCAAGTTTGAATGATATTATAGGATTGGTTGGCATGTTTGGTTGAGGTCCCGGGGGGCCTTGGGTGTGTTTCGGATGCTCAACAGGACATTTTTGGACTTAGAGAATTGCAGAAAATGCAGCAGGTCGCCAGTTCTGGTTTCCTTCTTTGTGTTCGCGAGTGGGGTCTTGCGTTCGCGAAGAGGAGCTGGGGCTGGTGGAAGCTTAGTGCTTCGCGTTCGCGATGATGGTCCCGCGTTCGTGAAGCAGAGAGGTCATATGCATACGCGTTCGCGAAGAGGGTCCCGCATTCGCGTGGGAGGGAGAAAGTTGCTACCGCGTTCGCGACAGGGTCATCAAATTCGCAATGAAGGAATTCTGGGCCAAGCAAATTTGTGCTTCGCGAACGCGATGGTCCTTCCGCGTTCGCGAAGAAGGAATTACCTGGGCAGATTATAAAATTTCAAAATTGAGGGTTTCGCCATTTTTATCAAAAGTTGAGTCTGGGAGCTCGGATTTGAACAAGATTTTGAGGGATTTTCAAAGATATCAATTGGGTAATGATTACTAACTTCTTTTTGCTTATAACCCATTAATCTAAACGTGAATTCATCATCTAATTTCGGATTTGGGATGAGAAATTGGGGAAAAATTTGGAAAAATTTCTTAGGCCTAACTTTTGAGTTTTGATTGGGGATTTGACATCGGATTTGGATAATTTTTGTATGGTTAGACTCGTGAGTGAATGGGAGTTCATAATCCGTAACTTTTACCCGATTCCGTGACATGGGCCCGGGGGCATTTTGGTCAATTTTCCTAATTTCGCGTATTAGCTTAGAATTAATTAGTTGAATTAGTTACTTGAAGTGTTATTTACATTATGTAATTACTTTTAATAGATTTGGGCCATTTGGAGTCGGGTACTCGTGGAAAGAACGTGGTATAGATTTGATTGAGCTGGTTCGAGGTAAGTGGCTTGTCTAACCTTGTGTTGGGGACATCCCCCCTAGGATTTGGTATTGTTGTTATATGAATGCCGTGTACGTGAGGTGACGAGTGCGTACACGTGCTAATTGTTGGAAACCCATTTTTCATTAAGTAAATTAACTGTGTTTCTTTCTTCTTGAACATTACTTGTACTTTAAGCCTACTGTGTAGGATAGGGAAGCATGCTTAACTGAATTAACTGTCCTATCTGCTTAAATTGTTTACGTGAATTCTCTGCAGCATATTAGAAATGAAATCTCTATTTTCTTGGTACGGACTTGATTGAAATTGTGGATTCTTTCCTTGAGATTTTTGTGTTTTTATTTTGGGACTACGGATGAGTGTTCCGGGAGATCCCCTGCACATATATTGATTTGGACTGTAGTGCGGGATACCGAGAGATCCCTAGCACATATATTGAGGATACTAAGAGATTCTCGAGATAGCGAGAGATCCCCAGCACATATATTGAGGATACTAAGAGATCCTCGGGATACCGAGAGACCCCCAGCACATATATTGAGGATACTAAGAGATCCTTGGGATACCGAGAGATCCCCAGCACATACATTGAGGATACTAAGAGATCCTCGGGATACCGAGAGATCCCCAGCACATATATTGAGGATACTAAGAGATACTCGCGATACCGAGAGATCCCCAGCACATACATTGAGGATACTAAGAGATCCTCGGATACCGAGAGATCCCCAGCACATATATTGAGGATACTGAGAGATCCCCGAGTATTTACGTTTGGGACTACGGGACGGGATCCCGGGAGATCCCCTGTCGATATTTCTGTTTACTGAGTGTATATTGTCTGTCATTTCTTCTCATTTACTAATATTGTTTTGATTATACGGTTGCACCTTACACTGTCTTACTTTGTCTTATATACTGATAACCGGTAGGGCCCTGACCTTCCTCGTCACTACCCGATCGAGGTTAGGCTTGGCACTTACTGGGTACCGCCATGGTGTACTTATGCCCTTTCCTGCACATGTTTTCCGTGTGCAGATCTAGGTACATCGACTCAGCCATATTGTTAGCGAGGCGAGGCGATCTCTAGAGACTTTGAGGTATATCTGCCACATCCGCAGACCGAGGAGTCCCTTTCTACTCTCTCTTTTAGATATAGCCCTTCTGTACTTTTTCTTTTGTTTAGACACTGTGGAGTTAGAACACTTTGTAGTTATTCCACATCTTGTGATTTCACGAGATTCCGGGTTTTTGGAAATGTAGTTTCAGTTTGAGAGTTTGTATTGTATATGCCGAGGGGCACCTTAAATGCTTCATTATGTTATTCCGCAGTTTTTGACTAGTTTTATTCTGTTGTTTCTTTTTCCGCAATTTATTAGGCTTACCTAGTCGTAGAGACTAGGTGCCATCATGATAGTTCACGTAGGGCAAACTGGGGTCGTGACGAGTTGGTATCAGAGCTCTAGGTTCATAGGAGTCATGAATCACAAGCCGGTTTATTAGAGTCTCGCAGATCGATACAGAGATGTCTGTGCTTATCCACGAAAGGCTATGTAACCGTTAGGAAAATATCCACTTCATTTGGTTTCTCTGTCGTCCGAGATTTTTTGACATCATAATCCTAAACTTCTATCTTCCATTCTCTCACAGATGGTGAGGACACGTGCTACTGGAGGTGACCAGACACCCGCCCTCCTTGCGAGAGCCGTCAGAGATCGGGGCCGAGGACGCGCACACGGTGCAGCCAGATCACCTGTGCGAGTTGCTACAGAGGAGCCGCCAGCGGTTCCAGCTGGAGCCCAGGCGCCCGATACGCTTAGTGCTACTACTACACCAGCACTTCAGGAGACCTTAATACAGTTCCTGAGCATGTTTGGTACATTGATTCAGGCGGGATTGATTCAGGTGGTACCAACTACTTCATAGATCGGGGGAGGGACCCAGACTCCCGTCGCCCCCACTCCAGAACAGCGAGTTCGCATTGGTCAGGTTCCAAGTATCATGGCGACACAGCCTGTGGTCCCAGTTAAGTGGGTGGTGAGGATCTCTCGCCGAGTAGAGGGCAGGTGGGTCCAGGAGAGAGAGGACATGGGAGGTCAGGAGAGAGAGTATAGGGAGGCGAGGAGACCTTGTAGACCGGAGAGATCCAGTTGCCCTTATAATGGAGGAAGAGTTCGGCATGGTAGAGGTTTTGTAGGTCAGCCAGCTCAGTTTGCGTCTTAGACTTCGCACAGTGTTTCAGGTGTTCAGGGGTCTCAGAGTACCCGTACTGCACAGTTCCCACTGTCACGTCAGGCGCGAGGTTGTTTTGAGTGTGGTGACATACGCCATGTGGTGAGGTATTGCCCTAGACTAGGGAGGGGTGCACCTCCACAGACTTCTCAGCCACAGCGTGCTCTGCAGAGTTTCCAGGCTATGATTTCAGCACCAGTTGCTACCCCACCTGCCCCGCCAGCTAGAGGTGGAGGTCGGGGAGGTAGAGGTCGCCTTAGAGAGGGAGACCAAGCCAGATACTATGCCTTTCCTGCCCGTACCGAGGCTGTCGCCTCCGATTCTGTCATCACAGTATTATCCTGGTCTGTCATAGAGATGCATCGGTTCTATTCGATCCAGGCTCCACTTATTCTTATGTGTCCTCTTATTTTGCCCCTTATTTGGGCGTATCTCGGGATTCCTTAAGTTCTCCTATTTATGTTTCTACTCCTGTTGGAGATTCTCTTGTTGTGGACCGCGTTTATCGGTCATGTTTGATTGCTCTTAGTGGTTTTGAGACCAGAGCCGATTTATTATTGCTCAGTATGGTAGACTTTGATGATACTCTGGGCATGGACTGTTGTCGCCCCATTATGCTATTCTTGATTTTCATGCAAAAATCGTGATGCTGGCTATGCCAGGTGTACCATGAGTCGAGTAGAGGGGTACCTTAGATCATAATTCCAGTAGAGTTATTTCATTCCTTAAGGCTCAGCGTATGGTTGAGAAGGGGTGTGACGCGCATCTAGCTTATGTGAGAGATATCAGTATTGATACCCCTACAGTTGATTCAGTCCTAGTAGTACGGGATTTTACTGATGTGTTTCCAGCTGATCTTCCGGGCATGCCGCCTGATAGAGACATTGATTTTGGCATTGATCTGCTGCCGAACACTCAGCGCATTTCTATTCCTCCGTACCGTATGGCTCCTCCTGAGTTGAAGGAGTTGAAGGAGCAGTTGCAGGAATTGCTTGATAAGGGTTTCATTTGGCCCAGTGTATCACCTTAGGGTACTCCTGTCTTGTTTGTGAAGAAGAAGGATGGTTCTATGCGTATGTGTATTGATAATCGCCAGTTGAACAAGGTTACAGTGAAGAACCGTTATCCTTTGCCTCGTATTGATGACCTGTTTGATCAGTTACAGGGTGCTCGTGTATTTTCTAAGATTGACTTGTGTTCAGGCTATCATCAGTTGAAGATTCGGGAGCCAGGTATCCTGAAGATTGCCTTCAGGACTCGGTATGGTCATTACGAGTTCCTTGTTATGTCATTTGGGCTGACTGATGCCCCAGCAACCTTTATGCATTTGATGCACAGTGTATTCCAGCCATATCTTGACTCATTCGTCATTGTCTTTAATGATGACATTCTGGTCTATTCCCGGAGTCGGGAAGATCATGAGCAGCACCTGATGATAGTGCTGCAGACTTTGAAAGAGAAGAAATTATATGCTAAGTTCTCGAAATGTGAGTTTTGGTTGGATTCCGTGGCATTCTTGGGTCACGTGGTATCTAGTGAGGGGATAAAGGTAGATTCGAAGAAAGTGAGGAAGTAGTGCAGAGTTGGCCCAGACCATCCTCAGCTACAGAGGTCCGTAGTTTTCTTGGCTTGGCGAGTTATTACCGTCGATTTTGTGAGCACGTGATTTTTGCCTCAGTCGAATTACTCCTACAGAATTCCTAAAATTAAGATTTTCCTTTTTTTATTATTTGATTTTTAGGAATTAATTGCATGATTGTCGTGTTTATTTGCAATTTTCTGTGTGCATTTTTTAATTTAGCATAATTCATCTAAAAATACAAAAATACGCATTGCATTGGCATTTAGGACTTAATTTTAAATTTCTTAGATTAATTATTAATTAGGGTTTTACAAAATATAAAAATCAAAACAAAATTGATATGTTGCTTGGTTTAAATTCTAGCTTCGAGTTTTATTAGTTTCATTTAAATTGGTATTTTAGTAATAGTTTTAATTATAGCTTAATTAGGTAGGTTGAATTGATTTCTTAGGTTCAATTTTAGTTTTGTATTAAATTTGAAAAAAAAAAAGAAAAAGAAAAGAAAATAAAAAGAAAAAGGGTCTTCTTTGGCCCAGTTCAGGATTCAATTCACCAGTCCAATTAATTAACCCTCGAAACCCGTTCAAAAACGCCCAAACCCGGCCCAGGATCCGGTCCAGCACCCCCAGGTCCTCCAAACGACGTCGTTTGGTATATAATCAATCTCAGCCGTCTAGGTTTTTTGATCTAACGAATGAGAAGCTGGGGTGCTTTAATATTTAATTGTCCAAACAAGCCTAGCCCCTCCCCCCCCCCCCCCCAAGCCTCGTCTCTCTCAACCCTAGCCAACCCTAGAGACACCCCTCCTTGAGCCGCCGTCAGAAATCGCCCACGGCGGCGGCGAGTCTCCAATAGCTCCCAAATTTTCACCATAACACCCTCTTCCCTCCCTCATCATGGATCTGTCAAGATCTTCATTCAAATCCCACCAGAACCTTCCAAAATCCCCAAACACTAGGGCGCCGCCATGGGTGCCTCCGCCTTGTCTGGCGGCGCCACTACCCAAACACCCCCAAATTAACACCAAACCATCCCCATAACCCCCTCTTCCCTAATATATGGTTAATTTCCCTCAAATAACCCCCGATTCCTTCGAATCTAGTTTTGAAGAAAACCCTAATTTCACAAAATCCAAATTAAAGGGGGTTTACTGATAATTTGACTATAATAACCCTTAGTCGTGTGTTTTCTCATGAAAACACATGATTAAGGACTGTTTTAGTCAAGTGATTCAAAGCAGCTTGCCAAGATTCGAGGTTTAATTGGGCCAGTCTCTAGGTATTTTTATTTCATATTTTTCTTATGTGTTTCTTTTATTATTTTTATCTTCTGTTGTTGTTTACTTTCGATTTGATTTGTAGTCACTTTAGGGTTCTGTGTATATGAATACCAGTACGAATGCATAGTTAATGGTTTCAAATTCGTTAATTAGTTTAGATTTGAATTAATCTGTTCCTTATTTTGTTTTGGCCCATTTGTTTCTATTAGAATTAGTTGTAGTTCCTCTGTTTGGGAAACATTGTTTTATTTTTAGTTTAAGCCCAAGAAATAGTTTAGGCCCAAGTAGGTACTTCATTTGGGTCCATGACCCATTTGGTTTGGCCTGATGTACTGGTGGGTTTTCAAGGGTAAATACAGGGTACAATAGGGGTAATATAGGTAGTTTAAAATAGGGAATCTTGCAGTAACAGAAATAGAAGCCCCTAGAACCTTCTAGATTGGGGTTCTAATTTGAATTTCAAAACTTAGGTAGTATAACTTGGGTAGCAAGTCAGGATCCTAAGAACTTTTAAGCAAAAAAAGCTAAAATTAAGAGGGGGCTAAGGTGCAAAACATGAATCTGAAATTGCCCTACTAGTTTGCCTATAAAAGGCATTGTTCCTTGCCTAACAAGAGAGTTTGGAGAAAGTTTTTTTGAGAGAGTTTTTCAGAGCTTCAAATTTCAGATCTTAAGTTTTCAGAGCCTGAGTTTGGGAGAGCTTCAATTTTCAGATTTTAAGTTTTCAGAGCCTGAAGATTTTAGAGCCTAGAGTTTTCGGAGCCTAGAATTTAGAGCCTAAAATTTGGGAGCTAAAAGTTTGAGAGATCGAATTTTGAGAGTGAAAAATCCTGTAAAGCTGAGTGACTTAAGAATTAAAAATCCAGCAAAAGTTAAAGAAAACCTACTGTTTCAATAGATTTCTACTGGTTTTGCTCTTTTCCAACTCCTGAGAATTGTTTGACTTCATCCGAGTGAAATGGCTTGAATTGATTCCTTCAAGAGCTTTGGTTAAAAGTAGATTGAGCTGTTTGATTGTTCATTCCTGGGTTGGAGTTTGTGGCTAGCTGATTACTGCTGATTTTTTCATACTGTCTCACTCCTGTTTATTTTCTGTTGTCCAATTTCCAAGTATTCCATGATTCTCTAAGGGATTGAGATGAAAATAGGAAAGCTGTAATTGCTTGAAGATACATGAATGGGTGTTTCTCTTTTGATCTTCAATGTAATTTTTTCTACTTAAATTCTTAAATTCAGTAGTGTAATGTAATAAAATTTAGCTTAGTTTATTCATCCTAGCATAGCAGTAATAGTTCGGAATTCATGTTATCCTTAAATCTGCTTGAAATTGGTAGATACATTAGCTTATTCAAACATTAAGGGACTGTGCATTTGGACTCTTATTTAGAAATATCCAGTTTTCGATTTGTGTGATTTTGGAATTGAAAGTTTCAGTAGTTTATTTCTAGTTTCAATCTATGAATAAGTCCTGTGAAACGTGTTAAATGAAGTTAAACTGTTGCTTTGGGGAGTTGAAATTTCACAAACGAGGGGGTTGGTTCATCAGCATACATATGATTTGAATACGAGTGTGAAGTTTGGATTTAAAATGAGCATGCGTTTCATTTGAATGGAGTTGAATTGTTCATTTGTACAAAATTGTTAAGTCCAATTATGATTCAAAAATCAGCTTTTTGAGATCCAAATTAAAGACCATACTCTTACTAAATCAATTTTTTTGACTTGGGCTCATTTACGGGCCAAAGCCCGATAGTTTGTTTTGAATACGATTTGGGCCTCGATTTTGCTTATGCATTGCCCAACTTCAGCATTAGCTTGCTTGGCCTTGGGCTTCATGTATGGAGCCCGTTTGTGATTATCGTTTGATTGAACAAATGGCCTTTGATAACCCTTAATCCCATGAACGCTGAAGTTTAGAGCCTCGGGCCTGTCTTTTAGGCCCAACCGTATCCCAATTGTGTTTTATTTTCGTGTGTTTGGTAACTGGACCTTAAAGTCCACAGCCCATATTTAGCTCTTGAAGCTAGTCCTTATGACCTCAGTCAATTAGTAAGACCCTCAAAAATAATTTTAGGAGGGCAATCTTAGATAACACAATAGCCCATGGCCCTTCAAACTTAGTCTAATATCCTTTAAAAATAAGAGCTGAGGTGCGCCACGCCAAATAAAATCTCAATTGCGTGGCCCTCTTCAATTATTTCTTTAAAATACTTAGAACTCGGGACGTGCCATTTAGCGAATTTTCATGGCCTCCCGCAGAGTTATCAACACGTTAGTTGCTTTAGGCGCGTATTTTAATAATCTACTTTCCTAAACTCGGGTGCACATTTATGTGACCCAAATCCAAATCTCAACGATGTTAAAATATGTCAAAAATCACGGGTGCATTTATGTGACGTGGTTCGAGACGTATTTTAATAACGTTGCAATTTTCCTTAAAATTAATCTAAAGCGGTAAATAATTTTAAATTGCACTATAGGTTGAAACATGTATAAAATCAGATAATAGGCCAATTATGATAGTTTAAGCGACCATGCTAGAACCACGGAATCCGGGGTGCCTAACACCTTCCCCCGGGTTAACAAAATTCCTTAGTCAGAATTTATGGTTCGCATACTTCGCAAGGAAAGTTGAATTTTCCTCGATTTGGGATTCAAAATAAACCGGTGACTTGGGACACCAAATAAACTATCCCAAGTGGCGACTCTGAATAAATAATCCCATTTCGAATAATGTCACTTAAAGTAGAAAAACTCCCTTATACACTATCCTTCGGAGTGGTGTGTAAAAAAGGATGTGTGACAGCTCTGGCAACTCTGCTGGGGATAACGAACCTAGAATTTTGGTTCAGGGTTCAAGAATTCGAGCTTAGAATAGCTGTTATGATTGGTTTATCTGTTATCTGATTTTCCTACATGTTTCATGCTAAATATGCTAAATGCTTTACCGCTTTGATGTTATCTGAATTGTATATAAACTGCTACGAAACCCTTCTCTTCTCATCTTCGGGGATGTGCTCGTTGGTCGAGACTCCCTATTCTGTTAGTGTCATACCTTGAAATAAGAAAGAGGCTCGGACAAGTTACTAAGCCGGATGGCCTTTTGGTTCCCGGTACGTAGCCCCCTCCTCGACTCGAGTTGTCCGCTCGGGTACACAGTCTAGAACACATACCCAGGGTTTAAACTTAGTATAACAAAGCCTCATGTCGGATCCCTAGTAGGAACGTTTGTTTGCATCATGTGCATTTGACTTAGTGGACTCAACACAGGGGTTGGGTCCGTCTAGGACAGGTAACCTGAAATGAACATACCATCCTGATGCATCCTACTTGCTACTTGTGCATTTATTTGCTTCAGATCTGCATGTTGACCGGCTTGTAAATAATGGGAGAAATTTTGAAAAAGGGAATAATTGTGTTAGGGATAAGTGAGTTAATCACCCATTTTGAAAAAACCAATGCCCAAATAGTACCGAAACTCTGCCGATTTTTTGAGAAAAGAAAAAGAAGGTTTTGTTTAAAAAAAAAATAGTTGGTTTTGTCAAATCTGCCCAAACTACGCCAGTTTGATTCCCACCGGATGTGGGATACGTAGGCAACCCTCATCGAGTCCAACTCCCCTTTTTACAATAATAGCCCAAAAACCACAAAAATTTTAAGTTTTGCCGCAAATAAGTCGGGTGATGCCATTCTTGTTTAAAAATAAGCCGAATGTCCCCAAAAGGGCACCGGAAGGCTGTTTTTGCAAGAACAGCCACCTTGGGTCATTTTCAACGGTTAGCGGGCACAACCTTAAAATCATCTTTACCGAAGTTCTAAAAGGCCATATCTGCAGAACCGGGTTTTTTTTTTGAAATTTTTAATAAAAGAAAATGGTGTCACTTTTTCTTTTTAGATCAAAAAGAGTTATTAAATTACCTTAATAAATGTGCAGGATGAGCACAATTCGAATTGATCCTTTCTCAATTATGAACAAAATCCCATTGGAGTTGCATATGTGGTGGAATGATCTAGGCAAAGAAGGGCAAGACAAGGTCAAGAAATATTTGAAAGGTCTTACTGGTTTGTTGGAGATTAGGCCCAGGGGAGACATCATAAGGGCATTGGTTACATGCTAGGACCCGACGCACAATGTGTTCCATTTTTCAGATTTTGAACTCACCCCGACCTTAGAAGAAATAGCCGGGTACATTGGGAGTGCTGAGGTTCCTTTAAGACACAAGTAGTTGATTGCCCCGAGAACCGTAGCTGTGCACAGATTCTTAGACTCGCTGAAGATAAGCAGGGGGGTCCACAACCCGGATTTGGCAGATGGCTTTTATACTCCAGAGTTCATATACCAGAGATATGGTCACATAGGGGGGTTCAACAATCCGAAAAACAAAATATGTGTTACAACCCATATTCACATATGTTAGTTCATGCCATAAGGTCGTCGACGTAAATCCACAAAGAGATTATCTTTAAGATGATAAGAGGTTAATCCTATTGATCTTAAATGATACAAAGGTGTATAAGGGTGGTTAACAAGTATTCGCAGTTAAACGAATCAAGGATGTTGTCAGCCGTATTTTTGGGTAAACCTAGGGGTGCTTAATACTCTCAAGAGGTCGTATTTTAAGGTATATGAATCATAAAATATCCGTATCATAGTCTTGAAGTCAAACGAGTTATGAAACAAAAGTCGACAAGAGTTGTTGCAACTTAGGTTCATAGTTTTACTTAAACTTTAGGTCAAATGTTATTAAGCTTTGCTCCCAATATACTTGGAATTACGGGGTGATATACCCACCAAATTGAAGATCTATGAGTCTAGTTTCCAACGCATTAAACCTTTTATCAATACAATATTGGAGTAGAGAGATATAGACATTTTTGCGAGACTGCACAAGCTGCTAGGTGACAAGTAGGTGGGTCACCTACTTGGTTAAATGATAGCCCAAAAAGAGGCAATTTCGGGTCAGACAAAGAGCCCATTAAAAGGCTTATCTTCTGCAATATATCCCTCATCATATTTCACAAATAACCAGACCTAAACCCCTGCAAACTTCCTCCCAAAAATTATCCACAAACCCTAATTGATTTTCCTTCTCTTTCAAGTTCAAATTGGGGGTAAACCCTAGAGTTTGAAGAACCAAGATAAGGGCTGAGTTATCCAACAAGTAAGGTGAGTTTACTGCTATCTTTCATACATTTATTCTGCTGTGAATTCATGGTAATTCGTTCTATACATGTAAGAACTCACGGGACGGTGATCGGAAGCCGTGAGTTCGAGTTATTCACTTGTAGCGGACTGTTTTGTGGACTGTTTTGTGTTGCTGTTGCGCTGCGTATTTTACTACTGTTTTTTGGATTTTTGGAGGAGTAAGGGTGTGGAGAAACACCATATAGATGTAGGGTTGTGGGCTGGTAGTTCTTCGTAACATTTCCGGGTCGTTTGACACGACTACGGTGGCCGTCGTATGTATGAAGTGATTTGGTTGTGCGTGGACTATTTTGGGAGGCTCAATATGATTATTATTGATGTTGTTTGGGCTGTTTGGTGATTGTTTGGAATTGTGTGAAGTCATATATATAGGGGAGGTGCTGTCCGTTTCATCGTAAAATAGGTTGTGGTCGATACATAATAGTTATGACGCTTGAATGATAATGTGATCCACTGGATGCACCTAGAGAACAGAATACTCAGACTTATAACTATCTAAGTTCAACTTCCACAAGATGCAAGTTTCATAATGTTCCAACAACAACTGCCCAGTAAAATCACACAAAAGTGGGATCTGGGGAGGGTAATGTGTACGCAGACCTTATCCCTACCCCGATAGGGCAGAGAGCTTCATAATGTTCCAACAAATAATTCAAATTCCTAGCAGTCATTTAATGAATTAAGTTTTTTGACCACCGATTAGAAAAACCTGTGTCTTTAAAAAAAATAAGTTATTGATAAGTTCATTAGAGTTTACACAAACTCTTAACAGAAACATAGGAACAAAGAATGGAAATTGATCCATCACATGTATGCTAACTAATTTTTTACCATCAAGAGGATCGATACATTTTTCAGAATCTTGTACTTCTTAAGTTGAATACTTAAAATAAAACTGATATAATAATCAAAACAGCGGACCTATAGTAATTGCTCTTCATGTTCAAAGTCCTCAAAGGAAGAGTAAATCCTTCTGTCAAACCAAGTTTATGAAAACTTAATCATCAATACCAAATATTTGTTGGTTTTTCACCCACCAAATTTCTACTATTCTAGATTAGATAGCATATATAAGTAGGAGAAGAGAAATGAGCCAAAAAAAGGAGAAGGAAAAATAGATCTCGAAAAGTTCTATTACCATCGAAGTATTTATAGCCTTCACCAATGAAGAAGAAAGGTCCAAATGTCGACGGGGGCTTGAAAGTCTGATTACTAAGCACAAAACCTATTCCAGAAACTCCAGTTCGATTGAAAAAATCTTGGCTAGAAGGAAAAACTTGCAGGTGTATTACAAGGTAGTCATCTAAATTTTTTGTAGGGTTACTGAGGGAAACTGAGTCAACAGGCAGTTGAAGGTTTTGGAATGAAAGCATCAAAGATTTTTGGAGAGTCTCATAAGTAGTTTTGTTTCCTAAGTTGGAAAAGGAAGGAGCTCTGAAGACTAGGTTGCCTGTATATGGAAAAGCACATTTACAGGTAGGACTAGAAATTTGATCGGAGCTGCACTCAGTTGGCAAGCAATTTTCTGGTGGAGTAGAATATGAATCAGCTTGTTGAGCTTGGACACAGTAAGTTTGTGTTGTTCCTTCATTGCAGACAGGATTACCAGCAAGTCTGCAAAGGAAAACAGTAACAAAATAAGGTAATAAACATGATACAGTCAAGTTTAGCGTAGAACATAATCATATGGCCGAATAGGCTTAGACGTTTAAAAAAACAAGGAAGAGAGCTTACAAGATCTGAAAGGGATATCCTGGTCTTTGAGTAAATGAATCAATAAGATTGCTCTGCATATCAATGAGTTGTAACTGGTTGCTATACGCGGAGTCAATTTCAAGTGTGCCATTAAGTCTGTTTTTCCTCATATTGCTGTCATAAGCAATGAGTGCATTGTCATCAAATCTCAGCATACTCAATCTCTATCGTTTATAAAACCAAGTTCCATGAAATACAACAGACACAAAGTTATAGGGACACTTACACAGTCTGCAACTGGAAAAGGCTGAATAATTTAGCTGGAACTAATCCTTGGAGTCCTGTGTTTTCCATTGCCCTGTCAATACAAGGTCATGTATTAGGTTAAAAAGAACTTCTGGGAATTGAAACCGTAAATGAGACAAATAAAAACTGCCCGTATTCAAGGCATATACTAGCACAGTACACACATGCACCTGCTCATGGAAATGCATACACACACACATACACATTGAGAGAGAGAGAAAGAGAACATACACTGTTGTCAAAGATTGCAGGTCTGGTATCCATGATGGAAAATCTGATGCATTAAATGAATTATTGCTCATGTCCCTGCAAAATTAAGTGCCACATCATGATAGTGAGATTAACAAATTGTCTTTTCTCCGAAAAAGTAACAAATAAATTGGGGGAAAAAGTTACAGCACAGTTATGAGCAATAATCAATTATCAACTCAAAGGGATCAAGGCACAGTTCTTACGATAAGCAACTTACAAGTAATTGAGTACATTCATGCCAGTGAGATTCGGCAAAAGACCATCCAAATTATTGTTTGATATGTGGCTGTGATACATTGTCAAAGCATGCTACATCAGGAAATCATAAGGACATAAGATAGGTTCAGAAAATTGTTTCATTTTCTACTTACAGTTCATTGACATGTGTGAGATTGTTGAGGTTTTGTGGCACAGATCCGCNGGTTGGGACCACATCTGATAAATGAGTGCACGACAGCCTCCTTGGTGGAGGGCATGGATATTTCCCGTATTCAGGCTTATGCCCAGACCCTAGAGGATTGTAAGCGCCAGCAAAGGGCAGATAGGGAGCAGGATAGGGGCCAGCATAAGCGGGCGAGATTTGCAGGGTATTCTGATGACTTCAGAGGCAATGTCAGGCCCCAGTCTTCGAGGAGTTCGGCGCCATCTGTAGCTAGTGCTCCTCCACAATTCCAGAGGCCTCGATATGGTCGATTTACCTATTTAGGTCCAGGTTAGAGTTCGCGGGCATCAGGATCGCAATATCACAGAGATACTAATCAGACGAGACCCCTAACACCACGTTGTGATCAGTGCGGTAAGGCCCACTTTGGACTGTGCCGTCGAGGTTCTGATGCATGCTATTCTTGCGGACAACCTGGCCATATCATACGGGATTGTCCTAATAGAGGAGGTGGTGGTATGGATCAGCTGAGTGGATCTGTGTCTGGTTCTTCCTCATCAGTTCAACCTCCAGCAAGGGGTTTTCTACAGTCGACTGGTCGAGGTAGAGGTAGAGGTGCAGTACAGAGTTCGAGTGGTGCTCAAAATCGAACCTATGCTCTAGTAGGTCGACAGGATCTCGAGTCATCTCCAGATGTTGTTACAGGTATATTGTCTGTGTTTTCTTACGATGTATATGCGTTGATTGATCCGGGATCCACATTATCATATGTTACACCCTTTGTGGCTAATAAGTTTGACGTTGAACCTGAATTGATAAGTGAACCCCTTGAGGTATCTACTCCGATAGGAGATTCTTTGATTGCTAGAAGGGTATATAGAGGTTGAACTGTGATGATTTGTAGTCATCAAACCTCGGCAAATTTATTTGAGTTAGAAATGGTTGATTTTGATGTGATAATGGGAATAGATTGGTTGGCCTCATGCTATGCAAATGTTGACTATCGTACGAAGATGGTTAGGTTTCAGTTTCCTGGTGAACCCGTCATTGAATAGAAGGGGAACATTGCTACGCCGAAAGGTAGGTTTATTTCCTATCTTAAGGCAAGGAAGATGATCTCAAAAGGTTACATTTATCATCTCGTTCGCGTTAGGGATGTGGAGACGAAGCCGCCTACTCTACAATCAATCCCCGTGGTCAATGAATTTCCAGATGTTTTCCCAGATGAACTCCCAAGCCTTCCTCATGAGAGGGAGATTGAGTTTAGCATTGATGTGTTGCCTCACACTCAACCGATCTCTATCCCTCCATACAGAATGGCCCCGGCAGAGTTGCAAGAGTTGAAGGCGCAGTTGAAGGACTGACTGGATAAGGGCTTCATTAGGCCTAGCACTTCACCTTGGGGTGCGCCAGTCCTGTTCGTGCGGAAGAAAGACGGATCATTACGGATGTGTATCGACTATCGACAGTTGAATAAGTTTACTATAAAGAACAAGTATCCAATTCCAAGGATTGATGACTTGTTTGACCAACTCCAGGGTGCTAAGTATTTCTCCAAGATTAACTTACGTTCAGGGTATCATCAGGTGAGGGTTAAGGAGAATGATATTCCAAAGACGGCCTTCCGGACAAGATATGGGCACTTTGAGTTCTTCGTGATGTCGTTCGGGCTAACAAATGCCCCAGCAGCTTTTATGGATCTCATGAATACTATATTCAGGCCCTATCGTGATGTGTTCGTGATCGTATTCATTGATGACATTTTGGTGTATTCTCGTTCGGAGGCGGAACATGGGGGCCACTTGCGGATAGTATTACAAATGCTTCAGGATCGTAAGTTATATGCTAAGCTCTCCAAATGTGAATTCTAGCTGAACTCAGTAGCATTCCTTGGCCATGTGATATCTGACGAGGGTATTAGTGTCGACACTCAGAAGATCGATGCAGTAAAGAATTGGCCGAGACCTACAACACCATCAGAAGTCCGCAACTTCCTAGGGCTAGTAGGATATTATAGGCGATTTGTAGAAGGGTTTTCCTCTATATCAGCACCATTGACTAAGTTAACACAGAAAGCTACTAAATTCCGGTGGTCTGACACTTGTGAATGAAGTTTTCAGGAGTTGAAGAATCGATTGACATCCGCACCAGTGCTCACTCTTCCTGAAGGACCAGAAGGTTATGTGGTATATTGTGATGCCTCAGGTATAGGTTTGGGGTGCGTATTGATGCAACGTGAGAAGGTGATTGCTTATGCATCAAGACAATTGAATAAGCATGAAAAGAATTATCCAACCCATTATTTGGAATTTGCTGCAGTAATATATGCTTTGAAGATATGGCGGCACTACTTATACAGCGTCCATGTTGACATCTACACAGATCATAAGTGTTTACAATACATCTTCAAGCAGAAAGAGTTGAATTTGAGGCAGCGTAGGTGGCTTGAATTACTGAAAGACTACGACGTCGAGATATTGTATCATCCCGGTAAAGCCAATGTTGTGGCAGACGCTCTCAGCCATAAGTCAATGGGAAGCTTAGTACATATTGAGGCAGGTAGATGGGGGTTGACTAAAGAGCTTCATCAGCTAGCCAATATGAGGATCAGATTGTTAGACTCTCATGACGGAGGTGTTACTGTACATAATACATCAGAATCATCTTTGGTAGTCGAGGTAAAAGCACGGCAATATGAAGATCCTATCTTAGTACGATTGAGAGAGAGCATTCAGCAGTGTAAAATTACAGCTTTTGAGATCGGAGGAGATGGGGCACTGAGATACCAGGGCCGATTATGTGTGCCTAATGTGCAGGGTTACGAGAGAAGATTATGAATGAGATTTATCAATCCCGATATTCCATCCATCCTGGCTCGACAAAGATGTATCATGACATTAAGGAGCAGTATTGGTGGGATAACATGAAGAAGTCTATTGCAGAATTTGTAGCCCAGTGTCCTAATTGTCAACAACTAAAGATCGAACATCAGAAACCCGGTGGATTGCTTCAGAATATAGAGATTCCGACCTGGAAATGGGAGGTGATTAATATGGACTTCATTATTGGGTTACCTCGCTCTTATCATAAGTTTGACTCCATCTGGGTGATAGTTGATCGACTTACAAAATGTTCCCATTTTCTGCCAGTTAAGACAACTTACACGGCTGAAGATTATGCGAAGTTGTATATCAATGAGATTGTTAGGCTTCATGGTGTACCAATATCTATTATATCAGACCGAGGAGCTCAATTTACGGCTAACTTTTGGAGGTCTTTTCAGAAGGGTTTAGGCACACAAGTGAATCTCAGCACTGCGTTTCATCCACAGACTGACGGACAGGCTGAACGTACCATTCAGACACTTGAAGATATGCTACGAGCATGTATTCTAGATTTTAAGGGAAATTGGGATGACCATCTTCCACTCATAGAATTTGCCTACAATAATAGCTACCATTCCAGTATTAAAATGGCCCCATACAAGGCACTATACGGGAGGAGATGTAGATCACTAGTTGGATGGTTCGAAGTCGGTGAAACAGAATTATATGGGCCAGATTTGATTCACCAAGCCATTGAGAAGGTGAAAGTGATACAGGAGCGATTGAGGACGACACAAAGCAGGCAAAAGTCTTATTCTGATGTCCGACGTCGTGATCTGGAGTTTGAGGTTGGTGATTGAGTTTTCCTAAGGATCTCGCCGATGAAGGGTGTTATGCGTTTTGGGAAGAAGGGTAAGCTGAGTCCACGGTATATCGGTTCGTACAAAATTCTTCGACGAATTGGACAGGTTGCTTATGAGTTAGAATTGCCATTCGAATTGGAATTTTTCTATCCGGTATTCCATGTATCTATGTTGAGGAAATGTATTGGAGACCCTTCTCGAGTTGTCCCTATCAAAGATGTAAAAGTTACAGAAGATCTATCATATGATGAAGTGCCAGTGGCTATATTAGATCGACAAGTCCGCAAGCTGAGAACAAAAGGTGTAGCTTCTATCGAAGTATTGTGGAGGAACAAGAATATGGAAGAAATGACATGGGAAGCAGAAGAGGAGATGAAGTCTACATACCCTTACCTATTTCATAATGAAGATAACAAGGATGCTGGTGGAACGCGGGATACATTAGAAGGTGAAACGGCTCTATGAGGTAAGCAATAACTTGAAAATACTCTTCCTTAATGCAAAATGGTGATATGCAGATAATGTACATGTCCATAATGCTTTGTGTAGCCTTGTGAGGCCATACGTTGGGCTTAACTGCTTGCAAGTTTTGCTAGTAACCATTTTATAGGGGAAAATTGACCGGGAACTTCCGTTGGAATCCACGATGATACTCCTCATAAACCCTTACATTCGAGGACGAATGTTCCTAAGGGGGGGGAAGGTGTTACAACCCATATTCACATACGTTAGTTCATAACATAAGTTCGTCGACATAAATCCATGAAGAGATTATCTTTAAGATGGTAAGAGGTTAATCCTATTGGTCTTAAATGATATAAAGGTGTATAAGGGTGGTTAACAAGTATTAGAAGTTAAACGAATCAAGGATGTTGTCAGCCGTATTTTTGGGTAAACCTAGGGGTGCTTAATACTCTCAAGAGGTCTTATTTTAATGTATATGAATCATAAAATATCCGTATCATAGTCTTGAAGTCAAACGAGTTATGAAACAAAAGTCGACAAGAGTTGTTGCAACTTAGGTTCATAGTTTTACTTAAACTTTAGGTCAAATGTTATTAAGCTTTTCTCCCAATATACTTGGAATTACGGGGTGATCTACCCACCAAATTGAAGATCTATGAGTCTAGTTTCCAAAGCATTAAACCGTTATGAATACGATATTGGAGTAGAGAGATATAGACATTTTTGCGAGACTGCACAAGCTGCTAGGTGACAAGTAGGTGGGTCACCTACTTGGTTAAATGATAGCCCAAAAAGAGGCAATTTCGGGTCAGACAAAGAGCCCATTAAAAGGCTTATCTCCTGAAATATATCCCTCATTATATTTCACAAATAACCAGA